TCGCTTATTATTTGTTACATAGTTGAAGTAGTTCTAGAGCATTTGTGTCTACACTTAGTCTATCTGAAGTGTCACTTTAAAAGCTGTAGTTTGAATGTCAAAGAAGTTAATTTCCAGATTGCTGTTGACAAAATTATTGTTCATTTTTAATTATTTTATTTTTTTCAATACAACACAGTAAGTTTTTCTTTATTATTGAGTTGATGTGTATGCCTTTGGCAAAGCTAACATCTGCCTTATCCACTTGCCTTTTCAAAATCAAAGGTGATGATACCCATGACAGTAATACAGTACGATATGTGTACATAAACATGTGCCTCCTACAAATAAAGACTTGTTTTTTTGATACACTGTGGTTCAATTCGTAATAACAGCTCCGTAGTCCTGTGGTTTTAGCAGCATTTTTTTCTTGGCAGGATTTTTTTTCGCCCTCTCGCATTAGTTTTGGGGTCTTCAGAGGATGTCATCCATAAAATTAAATCAGTGTGGCCTTAGTCTGCATTTGAGTCAATGTGGGAGCAGTGCGTAGGAGTATCTCATTGAATTCTGCTGAGGGTTAGGTTAATTTTGGAAAATATCTTCGCAACAAATTAGCAAGAAATAAACTAGCACCGAAAAAGCTAACAACACAAAATTCACGGGAAGAAAATGACAACCTCTGATAAATTCTTTGAGTTTGAGACTTTGAGGAGAATTTGAGGAAAGAGCAACGACATTACTTAATCCTCAAAACTAATGGTCTGCCATAAGCCATAAGCTAAATGTGGTACGTACAAATCCCGCATTTAAACAATTTTCTGAACAACGTAAAATAATGTAAGAAAGAACCGAAGAGCGCCATCTATTGGCCATCATTTTTCCCCGCAAATGATACACTCTGGTCTGCATGCACCTACCTGTAACTTCTCAACATCATACTGTGTTGCGCATGCGTGGTATGACACTACCTCAAGAGCAACTTTCTGCTTAGCGACCGCCTTAGACATTTCATTGTACATTATGGTATTATTGATCCCCAAACCACAGAATATTGTGAAAGCCTGAGAAAAGAAAACAGTACGCTGTTTGAGGACGGAATACAATACAATGGAGTTATCAACAATGATTAAGGTCAAGGGTCAAGCTCGACTTTTAATTAAATAGGTCACGTATAATGTCAGAGAGCAGAATTTGAGATTTTTGTGACGGGCTTATTCAGATAGGAACCCATGACATACCCGTCGAATAATATTCCGCCGTTGGAGTCAGATAGAGAGAACGTGAACGAAATATACGAGAGATATAGTACGAGCCGGAGGCGAGCTCACTATCGGAATGTAAATCAATACGTGTATGGTTTCACTATGCCCCTTGCACACGTGACAAAAAACGAACGATGAGTATACAGTAGACCCGGGACAGTAAAACGCTTCCATGTCACGTGCAAACTCTGTAACATTTACGTGCATATGACGAGAAACGCAGACGACATTGCAAAGCTGAGCTCAGTCTTGACATGTATTTATTTCAGTTTGTTCAGAGAATAATCTTTTTTAAATCTACTTTCTACAAAAAACAGCAAGACCTCTTTCCAAATTACCTTTTTTTAAATTATCCTTTTTCTTATTACGGTGTTATATCTTGAGTTCTCTATAATTATTTTTTTGTAAGTGTTGTTTGTACCACGAAATATTGTGATTTTTGTTAGTTAGTGAGTGTATGTTTCTCAATATTAAGTAACCATTTTAATTCCCTCCAAA